GTAGAGACGGGGTTTCACCATGTTGACCAGGATGGTCTCGATCTCTTGACCTCGTGATCCACCCGCCTCGGCCTCCCAAAGTGCTGGGATTACAGGCTTGAGCCACCGCGCCCGGCCATGAATGCTAATTTCTTTGACCAAAAAAAAATATATATACATATTCAGGAAACACCAAATCTTTGTGCCTCAAAAAAAATTATACTTTTAAAACTGCACAACAGCTTCAGTTAAAACTGGATCTCTTAAAGCACAAAACAGTTTTTTTGTATCTCTAGCAACATGCCACATAAATGTTAATCTGAATTAATAATCTCATTGCTGCCTTTTTACTTAGATTTAGTTCTAACATCTACTTTTGTTTCCTAAACCTAAGTTTTGTTTGCTTTTGACTAGAATTTATATAATTAGAAAACTGTATCACAAACATAATCAAAGCAAAGATGATAGAAAAAGAGTGGTCTTATTGAATCTAGCATCCTTAATTCATAAAAGTAATCATTTCCTTGCCTTACACTAGTCATATAAACCAAAGGTGCTGGGAATACAAACATAGATGAAAGGCCAGGTGTGGTGGCTCCCACCTTTAATCCCAAGAATTTGGGAGGCCAAGGCGGGCAGGTCACAAGTCCAGGAGTGCAAGACCAGCCTGGACAACATGGGTAAAACCGCATCTCTACAAAAACAAAACAAAACAAAACAAAACAAAAAAACAACAGAAATTAGCTGGGCATGGTGGTGCAAGCCTATGGTCCCAGCTACTCAGGGGGCAGAGGTTACAGCGAGCCAACATTGCACCACTATACTCCAGCCGGGATGACAGAGTGAGACCCTGTTTCAAAAAAGATGAAGTACAATTCTTCCCTCTTTCTATAGGCTCAAACCCTAGGTATCACTGAGGCAACCTGCATAAAATGTGATAGTTATACCAGGTATAAACATGCACCCAGAAGGGGGAACATACATAAATTCTACTTAATTGAGTACATTTCTCTTTTATGGACTCATTTGCCTTGTTGTATTTCATTTTCTGTAAAAAATTTTAAATAGGCCGGGCGCGGTGGCTCAAGCCTGTAATCCCAGCACTTTGGGAGGCCGAGGCGGGTGGATCACGAGGTCAAGAGATCGAGACCATCCTGGTCAACATGGTGAAACCCCGTCTCTAC